TGAAATATGGACCAGTATGATGAAGAGTCCAGAGTTTCTGGTAAGTAGACCGGAAACCTATACGATTTATATTTATGACAAAATAAATAATAAATAGCGGGTAGATACACGCAATATTTTTGATTTAACTGTTAAAGGTAAAACAGCTTGGGGTTTTTTATTTTTACCATCCATGCCAAGGTCACTTATGCGGAGCATAAGTTCACCAATGGTGGAAAACCCATGTGAGTAATTTCAGTAGGCATATAGTATTGTTTCTGTTGGGTATATAGTATATCCATATGGTTTTGCAACATTTAACAAACAAATAATTGTAAAAAACTAACAAAGTTTTAAAAAATTATGAATCATATATACAAAAAAACAAATGTATTCATTAGAATAAGTATAAAATATATATAAACATTTTAAGTACAATAAATAAGTCGTTTTTAATTCGGTCCAATTGTTAATTTTCGTTATTATACTGTCATAATTGGAATGGAAGTTCTTCAAGCCATTTTACTGCATCTTTAGTGAGGTTTTGTAGATCATTTAAAGTACTTTCAAATGCATATAAATAGCATTCGTTGATCATATTTATATTTGTATTATTGATTAACTTAAGTACTACAAAGTGTGGTGAATCTGACTATATTGTATGGTTCAGAGCGTTAGGCGGTAGAGAGACAAATAGACTAGATAATGGAATGCAAATGGGAGGGTGTAATTGGGAATGATTTGAGGACAACTGCGTATGCGATGTGGGAGATCGAATCAAGTGGAAGTTTAGAAAGAGTGTGAATGTGATATATATACAATTTATATATATATATACATACAAATAGATAGGACGAAGGCGAAGGAGGAGTAATGGCAGGTAAAACATTAAATTCAAACAAAATGTGTAACTATTCTTCATTGACTTTCATTGTTCAAACACATCTACCTTATAATTAATGTGTGTATTATACGATTCTAGGAGTTAATAATGGATTTTCTTAATGATGCGGGTAAAGACAAACTTTTATTTTCAATGGGTACCGGGATTTTGATACCATTGTCTGACATACCAAAAGAATTGAACACTAAATTATCATGTTTTTTAAAACTTGAGAGTGTTAAAATTACGGACAGTAATTATAAGTTTATGCTTGTAAAATTGGAAGCATCTATAAATCCTTTTCAAGACATAAAAACAGTAACCGAAAATGTAAGTAATAAGTGTATACTTATTTTAAAGCTAATTATTTTAATAAATATTTCATTTTGAATACCTAGACTTTAGCACATTTGTCTGCAAATAGAGATATTTTTAAAAATTATTCACACGACATTGAAGTAGCCTTTCAGGACAGGCTTAATGATTTTTTAACCAACTTAAAAAACGTATTATCTGCACAGAACAAAAACCGCATAACCTTAGTAATGCCTTTTGGATTTGAAAATATTGATATTGCTTTAAAAAACATCGAAACCAGGTAATTATGCTTTTCGTATTATTTCGTAACTATTAACATGTTTTTTGTATTATATAATTAAACACAGCAATTATTCTAACAGATAAATGTAGTTTTAGTAGTTAAATATTTTCCACTCGGGGGAGGGGTGGTAATTTATTTTTTTTATTTCTAACGGTTTTTCTAAAATATTTGAAAATAAAAACAAATACACCTAACCATGAAATCGACTTTAATTGCTATTACGGTAACCAGTCAACCAGATTACCCCTGAATCCTTATTAGTTTGTAATGATTTTTAGTTGATTCCAGTATATAGGTAACCATAATTACCTTTTATCTTACTTTATTTTTTTCTAGTGATGGAAAAATGATAGACGAAGTATTAAAACTGAGACTAGAAGAACAAGTATACGTGTGGTTTAAACAAATTAGTACATTGGTACAAATTATGCCAGATTCGATTCTTGAACTAGATCCCAATGCAACGCATGCAAATTGCAAGTGTTAAACAAATATATAATAACATATATTTTGATAACATTTTAATCTCAGTATATTTCAAATTTCTACACAGACTTCGATTTCTGGATCAATCGAGAAAAAAAACTAGTCGATTTTTTTCAACAAATAATCCCAGAAATCGGCGATTACTTGTTAGTGACAAAAAGCTCATCTTTGAGCGTTTATAGACAATTAATGACCATTGGGATGATTGGTACCTAAATAATAATATAATATAATAATTATTAAATTAGTTTTATTATTTATTATTATTAAAAAACATAAAAATTTCCGTTTTTGTCTAAAATTCAACTATATTATAACAATTCATCGTTGTATTTGTTTTCAAATAGAAAAAAAGAACACGAAACTCATCAACATGTTCTTGGGAACACTCACTAAACCTATCAATAAAATTGAAAGTAACGGTTTGGTCGAGTCAAAATTAGAATTGTCTGCGTTATGGAGGACATTGGTACTTATATGGATAAACTGTTTATGTTTTCAAAATTACAACNAGAACATACACAAGATTAATGACGTTCTAGACATCATAAGTTATTTCAAGTAAACCAAATTAATAGTTACTATGTTAATAATATTAATGTATTATGTAGGTAAATTATGTATGCTGCGGTAATATATAATCTTAAAATGTTTTTTTCACAGAAATCAATTCAAAATTGTTCAAATGGAATATTTTTCTGAAAAATTTGAAAAATTCAAATTGAAAAATCCTGTATTACGCAATTTGAAACCACGTTATTGGAACTTTCGTACTTGTGATTTGTTTGAAAGGCTCGACGCATTTGAAGAGAGGTTAAATTGCCTCAAGGTGAGTGAGAAATTATACCAAGTACCCCTTGGGAATTCTATACTTGTACGTACTGATTTTAAAAGTTAAGATGCATAATATTATATAATTCAATCAGAAATAGTAAAACATGGTTATTCTTTCACATTTTAGTATATAGTTAGATGGTTAAACATTCTATTTTTTAAATCTATAGCAAAAATAAAATATTTATAAAATATTATAATTTAATAGTATTACTCCTATCTTCTAGTCAACTATATGAAAACTATAATCATTTTTCAAGTAGGTATTTATAGTTTAGGTATTATTTTGACTGCAGTTTTTTTATAAAAAAAATAAATTTTGTCGACGTTTCAAAAGTTTTATTCCTATTATATACACCGTACTTTGTGTTGTACGATGTTTCACCGTTTTCGTGTTCATTAATAACTTTGTTCCAATTTTATTTATTATATTATACATGATTTTTGAATCGTATTACTGCATTGACTATGGTGCATGTATACTTAAGTAAGTACATCGTAATATTCAATACAATTAAAGTTTCAATAATATTATATTATTTGCAAAAATCAATTTTCTACATATTATAATCACCTGTATAAAAATGTAGTATCTATACTCACGATATATTTATTTTTATTCTATACATTTCAGTCTATGCTGCTTAACTTTATCGATTATCAAAAATTAGAAAAAATCGAAGTGAGTGGACTCATGAGCCGTATGTATACGCCAATGCTCGAACGCGTGTTTCTTAGGTATTCAAAGTACCTAGAGTTAATGAGTTCCATTGCGTATGATCCATTGGACCTGTTTAACGAAGAGCCAAATAAATTATTTCGGGAGAATCATAATTACTATGTAAACTTATCAAATGATNTGATCCATTGGACCTGTTTAACGAAGAGCCAAATAAATTATTTCTGGAGAATCATAATTACTATGTAAACTTATCAAATGATATTGACCATCGTTTAGCCACCCTGGCCAAATCATGTTACGAAAACAGTAACGATTTAATGACACTTCATAAGGTATACTTCCTATATCTTTCTATATTTATGTAGATGTTTTTATATGTACACAATATTACGTTGACAGTCGATTTGCGTACATTAACCTGAGGTGCAAGGGCGCGACCCGTTTCACCCATATTAGATCTTTACCATTTCGCCCAAATACCCGTTTCGTCCAAATACATTTTAATAATTTTAAAATTAGGTTGGCAATGGTTTTTTAATAATAATGAAATTATAATATTAAAAATTATTTAAAAAATCATTACAAAATAGAAATTATAATTTTTTTAAATGTCTATACATGCTTTTTACACTCATACCAAGTTATTTTTCAGATCTAAATATGTATATAAATGTATAAGTTTTGAATTATATCCTTGTCGTTCTCTCATTTTTTTGTCTTATTTTTAGAGGAGGGGGGAGAGAATTTCAACACTACAAATTTGTATAAAATAATAAAAAACTAATTTCTCATATACATTTTTAAATAATTTTCTATTTATTTTAATTATTATTATTATTCAAAAACAATTACCAACTTGATTTTAAAATGTTTTTTGACGAAATAGGAAAGGTCAAATTTGGACTAAACGGGTCCCATCCGGGATATACCCGTTAATGGTTGGTTTATAATATGCACGTACTGTGACTATTTTCAGTTCTTATTGGTGTTCGGTGTGGACTTGTTGGAAAAACCGATCATAGCAGATTCCGTGAAAGAACACAACGAAAAAATATTGAGCCTGCTGGAAACAGAATTGACCTATCAGTTGGTGAGCCATCTATTATTTTTGGTATTTAAAATATAGGAACGATCTTTTAACCAAAAACCGTATTTGCCGTGGTTACTTGATTTATAGAAAATCCTGGATTCGATGACCAGAACAAAGCTCACCAGGGAAGTTGATAGGAATGACTATTATGAGTCACGTTTCGTACCCGAAAAAATGGACCTACGGTATCCGCCGGTGGCCAGGATAATAATATGGGGCCACTCGCAGAAAAATCGGTTAATGGAAAATGTCCTCTCAACACGGAGTTTAGAACTACCGTAAGCACATCATTATCTCGGTATTTTGGTTTTTTCGGTCAAAATAGAGCTGGTACTGGAGATATACCTGGTATATGTTACTAGCAATGTGAACGTGCCCGTGCAATGTGAACGGCAGATATAATACTAAAAATATAATGGTCTAATACTTATCTACATGTATATAGGTTGCCCCAAGAAGATATACCCCTTGAAAACCGATGTTAGTTAGGGAATAAGCTAATGGTGTTCCGCGATAACATAGGTTTTCACACGGATTAGTAGAAATTTAAACGGTTGTTACTTTGAAACTATTCATCGGATAAAAATGTGTGATACATTAAAATTTTCATTAAATAATAAAATACATTTATTTTTAAATTGTTTACTAAAAAATAAATTTGATGCAAATATAAATATTTGCAGCCCTCATCCCTGTGAGTAGTATAAAAAAAAAAAAACAGAATTTGATTATCTTTATTATCTAAGGAGATATTCAAGGGGTACAAGGGGTATTCAGACTGTACTGTTACGATAAAAGNCAAAACCGTATTTGCCGTGGTTACTTGATTTATAGAAAATCCTGGATTCGATGACCAGAACAAAGCTCACTAGTGAAGTTGATAGGAATGACTATTATGAGTCACGTTTCATACCCGAAAAAATGGACCTACGGTATCCGCCGGTGGCCAGGATAATAATATGGGGCCACTCGGAGAAAAATCGGTTAATGGAAAATGTCCTCTCAACACGGAGTTTAGAACTACCGTAAGCACATCATTTATGTCGGTATTTTGGTTTTGTCGGTCAAAATAGAGCTGATACAGGAGATATACCTGGTATATGTTACTAGTTAAAAACCGAAATAGCAGAGGAATAACGAGAAAATTTACGAAATAAAATGTAGATATTGGTTAAAAATATTACGCCCTTCTTTTTTCCTGTGAACAAATTTTCTACCAGCAAATTTGCTCCAATTTATAATGATAGCACTTTTTCTGAAATGAAATTTAACAGGACAGGTACTTTAAGGAGGTAATTTTTCGATTTTCCCGAAAGCTTTCCCAGCAAATGTTTTTCACATTTTTCACCAGGAAAAACATGAGAAAACTGGGAAATACGATAAGACCGGTATAACATTAAACAAATATTATTAAAGAAAATATATAATGCCTACTTAATTATTTTACTATGATATGATATATTTATTGTTGACGAAACATCACTATCAACTGAACTCCGCTCAGAATCGTTTTTTCGTCAGCAATGGTTTATCGTTACTTCCAGGTATATATTAAATTATTTATAACAGTAGTTGCACCGGTTTCCATTATCCTAGGACAGTTTATATATATATATATACATATTAATTTTTAAATACTACTTAAACAATATTTTTATATTATTAAATATTTTGTTGATTATCTTTGTAGAATTATGGATTGTCCAAAAGCCATTCAGATCGAATTAAAAATTAAAGAATTAAACCGTAGACTAGAAAACTATGTACGCAATAAATTTGACGATTGGGCGAGTTTTGTGCCTTTACAAATCAAGGAGAAAATTGAATACTCACTGTTTAAAATTAACAAAGATGAAACAATCGAAATGAATTTCCCAAAAGAAGTAATAAACTTGTTATAATATCTTTCATACCAGTTATTAATATGATGTGTATTGATAAATAAAATATTATAATATTTTATTTGAAGCTCGATGCTGCTATCAAAGAAACCAGATATATGTTAATGGGCGAATTATATTACAAAAACCCGCTGTTGACTATTACTACGAAAGATATTCCATACGAAGCGATTGAGCTCTATAAAAGAGAGAAAAAGATTATGTCTTATAAACACGATATTGAAGACATAGTAAATTGGTCAGTAATAATTATCAATATGAGTGTGTAACATTATAAAAATTATTTATTAAGTAGTTATACCTATTTGAAATATAGATAGATATTATTTAGAACAATTAAATAATACAAATTATTTCTTATTCTATATCACTGAATTGTATTAAATTAATTTATTATTGTTAATAATTGAATTGTATATAATTGCACTTGGTCTGTTATTTGTTAACATCTAACTATAAGTTTAATTCTGTTATACGTTTAGGTCGCTTGGGGTAAAAAAATAAAATAGATACATATAATATGGTAGAATTGGTAGTAGGTATAGAAAAACATTAAGTTGCACAATAACGAATTACACATAAAACAGTATCTATTTGAACAATAGGTACATGTTTTGGTATACCTTACCCATGCATTATTTTTGTTTGTCATTTAATAATCGTATGTATTAACTAGACTATTTGTATATGTATAGGTATAATACGCTGAAAAAGGATACTCACCCTGCAGAATTACAATTAATCATTAACTATGTCGAGGAAATTGATAATCTTATTAGCGACGCTCAAATGTTTGTCACATGGAACTCTGAAGGTAAATAAATTGTTTTAATTTGATATGAATCTATACAAGGATGTAGCTAAACATTTTATCAAGGGGAGGGGGCAACAAATAATCAAGACATGATTAGTGTTTTTGTACATATATTTAAATATTTTTACTCACGTCGTGTTAAATTTTAGATTCTAAAGCGATTAAAAAAGCTTATGATTTTACAAAGATATTTTTTTTTTCTGAAGACAAATTTTCTATCAGCAATTTGCTCCAACTTTTAATGATAGTAATTCTTTTAAAAGAAAATTTCACTGAGGAGGAACCTTAGAGAGGTCATTTTCTGATTTGACCAGCAAATGATTAAAACTTTTTATTTTTATTTTGACGTACTATAGTTTTAACGAAGTCTATCATATCCACCTCCTATTTGATGAACAACTTCCTGAAAAGCTTTTATAAGATTTTTTACTTCAACATCTACATTTTGACGATAGGTTTTTAAGACACCTACTAAGAATTTTTTTTAAGTGACCTACACATGTGAAAACGTTCAAAATTTTGCCTGTAGTGCATTAACAATAGGCTCTAATAAAAAATAATTTTATTTTTATATGTACACAAAGTATACACATATTTTAAACCTATGTAACCTAACCTAACCGAATGTTTTAAATTAGCAGAGTTATTTCCATGATAAGCATGAAAAAAACAAATTGTATTTAAGCACATGAAATATTCGCGTCTATTCCTTCTCCAATTTAAAATTTCGTTAAAATGTTATATTTTTTAGTTAATAACAGAAAGGGGCACTTTCCCCTACACTGGTTACGTTCTTAAATCCATACATAAATAGGTACCTATAATAGATATGCTATTATGTTTACAAATTAGATTTAGTGTATCCGGTTGAAAACGAAAATGTTTTATACGGAGAAGAAGTAGAAAACGAACAACAGCCTCTGCTTACAAAAATAGAAGCAACAATTAGAGCTATTCATAGTTTGACTAAGAGCGTTTACGAACGTTTAATGCAAATTAAAGACAACTTTAAAAAAATAAAAATACTCAGCAGTCAATGGGAAAATACACCAATGTATGTGCGTGAAAAGACCACGAAGCTTATAATGCTTGGCGACCGATTGACCTACTTCAAAACCAATAGGTACAAGGAAATAGATAATGCTAGTTCGAAGATACACCAATTGCTCAAGGAAGACCTTTTGCTGTTTCACAATGTACCTTTAGTGGACCCAAATCGGGGTAAATTATAAATTGGCTAATAAGGTCGATTTGCTGTTGACATATAATATTGGTTTTTTCATACAATAATAATAAATACGTTGAGAATACAATCCCAGAATTTTGGAATTAATTGGAACCAATCCCAGGATCTTCATAATAATCCAGGGATTTAACGGGACCACGAGATTGTATTCTTTAAATTCTGTCTTGTATTATACAATATAAACCGTGTATATTAAATTTTTTTTTTCTATTGTGCTTCACATTTTAGAATATGATTACATCGATGAAATGGATGTCGGAATTGAAGAAGAAGTAGAAGAGGAAAGTGTAAAACCGAAGCTGTTAGAAGAAGAGCAAGAAGAAATAATAGACTCTGTTTTAGGAGAATCTATCAACGAAACGGAGTCTGTTTATTTAAATGAAGAAGAAAATGCAGAGGAAGAAGAAAAACAGCTGTTAAACGACGATCAAGACGAAGAAATGATGTTTGATGAAATGGGGGAAGAAGAAATAAAATTGAATTACATTGATACTCAGGTAGAAATAATATTATCAGACCTAGGAAGAAAATTATTATGGGAAGAATATAAAAAATATGTCGACGATGCAGTTTTTGTGTGTTTACAAAATGCTATTCTAATCAGGTAATTGACAAAACTATAAAAAAAACATAATAAAATATTAAAGTACTTCAAAATATGCACCAGTGCGTGTACAAGAAATTAACTTTCAAAACTTTAAATAGATTAGGCTGGGCTAATATTGTGAGGAATATGGTCTAAACACTTTAAATAATACATATATTTACAATATCTCTGCATTTACTCGTATATAAAAAAACACTTCCAATATGTTTGTCCTAGATGATCTGGTATGCTTTTTCTGTTTTAGATTCGGAACGTGGCGAGGAATATATTAACTTTATAATGATGTTTATTTATATTTTTTTTCTTTTAACTGTGAACAACTTTTCTACCAGAAATCTTGCTCCGATTTTCAAGTGTAGAACCTCTTTTGAAAGAAAATTTAATCTCGGTGGTCTATTGATAAAGTAATTTCTTTTGGTTTTCCAAGCCCTTGGAAGCCTTTTCTCGATAGGAAAAAACGTAAAAACCAGGAAAAACTGAGGAATGTACGTACTTATAAAAAAAAACTTCGCTCCCAATCGTTTTTTGTTAGCAATTGTTTATCGTTGCGTACAGATATAAATTAAATTCTCCTTTATATCCTTCCTTCCCAACTTCTTATCTACAGTGGGCCACCTATTATGCGAAGTATGCCCGTCTTTTTATAATTAATTTTCAAATAAAGGGCAATTTTATAGATTCAATTAAATACATTTTATAGATCCATAATGTTTAATTATTTTCGTATTGTTATTAATATTAGAGGCGTATAGGAACTAAACTATACGCCAATAAATTTACCTATTGCAATTAATGTTTGATAAATACTTAAGCTAATGTTTTATTTATGTTTAGTCTAAAGTATATTCATCAAGACTTAAAAAATGTACAAGAATGTACTGCGATATTTATGGCTATGTACGTTCTCAATGAAAAGGGTCCAATTTTTTCGCCCGATTTCAATATTAATAATAGTCCTAATTTCTATGGAATTATTGATTCCTTGCTTGAGGACATAGTTGAAATGGGATTGCACATGAAAAGAANATAGAGGTATTATTGTAATTGGCGGTTTCCCATCACTAGTTTTCCCATAATTAATTTGAAGTCTATCTATACACACATTGCCTAATAAAAAAACACCTTTTACATATAATACCTATATTTATTTGTTTGGCATTGTTGATTAAATAATTAAATCTGTTATATTTAGGCCCTTGACTATATCGCTCAGTATAAAACTTACTCTTCGGTATGGCTTACTGATAAAAACGACGCATTGTCATTGTTTTTAACATATGGCAAAGATCTGACCGATGATGAAATGAATCTACGTTTTGAAATAGACAAAGAAGGAAATCTAGTTGTTCCTCATTCTTTTCCGAAACTTAGTTCGTTCAAGGAAAAAGTATACAAAGAAAATATATTTTTTTTAGTTATATTGACTTAATAATATTGATTTTTAAATTTAGATTGATTCGTATGATAATCTTTATCAAAAAATCAATAAAATAGTGGAAACTATCACACTTGATTATTGGTTAACCATTGATATTAATCCTTTTAAAAAAGATCTTTTGAATTTAGTTGCTAGTTGGTCAGACTTATTTAAAACGTATTTGGTTGATGAAGTGGTGAACAGGTAAAATGAGAAGAATTAGTAATTAGTACTTTTTCTCGTTTACTATCATTTTTTTTTAAATTTTTTTTAGTCTTCGCTCGTTACTCGAGTTCACCAAAGATACAGATAGTGGTCTTTTAAAACCATTAGAAGAAGGAGATTATGATGGCCTAGTGAGTGTCATGGGTCATTTATTTAGAGTTCGAGAAAAACAAGAACAATATGATTCAATGTTTGAGCCATTGGCAAATACATTACATCTACTTAAAATCTATGACGTAGAAATGCCAGAAGATGTGTATTCTTTAATGCAGGTCAGATCATTATTATTGTACTATACATTTTAATTATCCCAAGTATCTGTTTTAATTACTAAATTTTTGTTTGCGAGGTATACATTTTTTGTTTTCTTAGGAATTGCCAGACAAATGGAACACAACCAAGAAAAACGCAATGACCACTAAATCACAAGTAGTACCCTTAATTCAAATCGAAGGAATAATAATAAGTAAAAGAATTATTTTATTGAGCATACGGGAAACTTTGTTCAAAAATAATTTCTTAACCATGCCCCAATTTGAGTAAGAATCTGTAATTTTGTATTTTAATTCTTTTAAAAATATGTATTAACAGTTCGTAAATAACTTTATGTATTATAGCATAAATTGTAAAAATGCATATATAGAGATAGATAAGACAAATAAAGATTTAATGGAAATACAGGATTTGCATGATAAATTACTTTCTCAAGCTTTATTATTTGAAATAACACAACCAGAAGCTGGGATTTTGGAATCAACTAAATTACATTTACAGCTAAATAAACAGCTATGGGATTTCATTTATTTGGTTAAAAGTTGGATAAATTTATGGCTGATGACTTTATGGATAAACATAGATTCTGAATTTATGGATATGGAACTAAAACGATATTCCAAAGATTTAAAACGTATACTTGACATGTTTAAAGGCTTAAATATATTTTGAATACATTATTATTAATAATTAATGTTGATTTAAAGTAATGGACAAAGAAATGCGCGATTGGCCATTATTCATAGGCATTGAAAAAGTAGTTAAAACTATGATAACTTCGTTGAAGGCATTAACTGAACTTCAAAACCCAGCAATGAAAGACCGGCACTGGGCTGAACTTGTAAAAGTTACAAATGTAATATTACATATTTAGAAACTATTTTAAATAAAACTAATTTAAAACTAATAGATTTTCACCGTTAAATTCTTATAGGTACAATTTTCCATTGACAAAACAACTACTTTAAATGATTTAGTAAAACTTAATTTACACGAATATGAAGACGATGTGAAAAATATTGTCNCGTTGAAGGCATTAACTGAACTTCAAAACCCAGCAATGAAAGACCGGCACTGGGCTGAACTTGTAAAAGTTACAAATGTAATATTACATATTTAAAAACAATTTTAAATAAACTAATTTAAAACTAATTGATTTTTACCAATAAATTATTTTAGGTACAATTTTCCATTGACAAAACAACTACTTTAAATGATTTAGTGAAACTCAATTTACACGAATATGAAGACGATGTGAAAAATATTGTCGATATGGCCGTTAAGGAAATGGCTATGGATAAATCATTGAAAGAATTCAATGAAACATGGAACTCTATGCAGTTTGAGTATCAGCCCCATTCAAGGACAAAAGTTAATTTACTTAAAGTACGGGATGAAATAATAGAAACATTAGAAGATAATCAAGTACAATTACAAAATATGATGAACTCGAAGTTCATTGGACATATGTATAACGAAGTGTCGAGTTGGCAAGCAAAGTTAAACACTGCAGATCGTGTAATAAATTTATGGGTAGAAGTTCAAAGAACATGGGCTTATTTAGAAGCGATATTTATTGGCTCTGATGACATAAGGACACAGTTACCAGAAGACACGAGAAGGTTTGAAAATCTCGACAGAGATTTTAAGGTGAATGATAATATCGATGACTATAATATAGTTAATTCATTATGAACGTTATATTATAAGTTATATTACAACTATTCTACCAGAAATATAACTCCGATGTATAAAGTGTAGTACCTTTTCTGAAATGAAATTTTGTCTAGTGCGTGTATTAAAGAGGTCATTTTTTGATATTCAAAAGGGTTTTCTAAAAAATGTCGAAATATGCATTTCAAAATATGTCTTGTAACTATATTAAATATGTTTATTATTTAAATAATACTCATAACCTTTCTTATTTTTTACCCGCATTTTTTTTTTAGTATTAAATCTTTCTTGTTTTATTATATGGCTAATAACA